CACACACACACACACACACACACACACACACACACACACACGAAAAAACAGATGCAGACAAAAGGATCTCCATCTCGTGCGATCATCAGGGCACACATCCAGAGCCATTGGTGCACGGGGTTTGGGAGTGATACCGAAGAGACAAATACGTTGGCCATGCGCGAAGCATAGCAAGGACAGAAAGCATAGAACAGCCCAAACACAATAGCCAATAATACAACAGCAGGAATAGGACAGCCCGCATAGGACAGACAGAATAGGACAGAATCAACAGACGGAATAGGACAAATGGACAACCAGACGGTTGAGGGCCAGAAAGTGGCAGCAAGGACTTGTAACCATCAGGGTCCGAAAGAGGCAAAAGGGCTTACAGAAAAAAAAAAAAAAAAAAAAAAAAAAGGGCTTACAAACATCTCTCTCCTCTTCACGTCACCACTTTGAAGGGAGAAAAAACAAACAACAAAAGATCTAAGGCTGTTTGTCTGTGCGCACAGGCACCCAACTTGTGCCCGGATACACGCTCGGGTGCCCGGCCGGGCAGGGGTCTGGGCAGCCCCAGCTAAAAAGAGACAAAAAAAAATGAAAAAAAAGAATTCAAGAAGTTCCAGGAAAAAAAAAAAAATGTTGTGTAGAATTGCAATGCAAAGTTGCAAACGAGTTTTGGCTGCGGGTCACATCAGCATTCCTCACGAAATCGAAGGTGTAAAATAATAAAATAATAATAATAAAATAAAAATAAAAAAAGAGGTTAAAAAAAAACAGAATTAGACTAAGGCACCAATTTGTAATTTTATACCCCCCCCGCCCCGCTCCCCCTCCTTGACACCCAACACTAGAAAAAAGAAAAGAGCCCGGATTTGGGCTCCTCTGGGAATGCGCGGAAACCCCCCACTCAGTTATCTCCAGACCATCGCCGTTTCAAAAAAAGGGAAAAGGAAAAAGGGAAAAGAAAAGGAAACACACATCCTTTGTCTGCACTTCTGTTTTCCGTATAACCCAAATATAACGCCCCGTCATTATAGCCGTATTTGCGGGCCATTTTCTGTCCAGATGCAGCGACAATGACCAGGCGTTCTATTCAGTGACAATGACAAGAAGGTAGTGTTAACTGGCTAAAGGTGGCAACAACACTCTGGTGGCTGAAGTGGCAGAAGCCTCCTATGTCCTGGTGTACTGTATCAAATCTCTCTTTCTTTCTTTCTTCTTCTTCTTCTTCTTCTTCTTTTTTTTTTTTTTTTTTTTTTTTTTTTTTTTTTCGGAAACGGCATGGCACATAGATTGACTAATTAGTAATTACCCTTCCTCACAACTTGCCCCCACAAGATGGACATGCACAGGACTACTTCCCTCTTCCCCCGAACACTGTGCACCCCCTGATTATGTATCCATACATGCTTGCTTTGCGGCCCCATACGGACGAAATGACGGTGTGTTGTGTTCAGGGGAAGATGGTAGCAAGCAAGTGCACTGAACTTTCTGCCAATCTGTGTTTCACACGGTACTCTCACCTACACCCTAAAAACTGTCATGTCAGTGCACAGAAATGAATTCCACGCAAAAAAGAAAAAACCAAAAAAACTGGAGTCCATGCACAAGCAGCGCATAGGAAAAATCAATCGAAAAACAAATTGACAAGCAAAATTCATATAATTGCCACAGAAGTGAGGCAGCTCAACAGGTACTTAACTCTCTCTCTCTCTCTCTCTCTCTCTCTCTCTCTCTCTCTCTCTCTCTCTCTCTCTCTCTCTC